CTGTATTCCTACAGATAACAGTTAAGTCATCTGCAATTGCTCCCCCTTTCCATTCAAGGGAGGGCAGCTTCAACCCACGAATACAATCATTGTGCCGAATGTTATCAAGTACGACCTCCAATCTATGTTGCACGGCCTAGGCCGGGACCCCCCCGGCCGTGGCCGACCCGGCCGAGTTTTTTTGGCCTCGTTCTCGGCCGATCTGGGGGGGGGGGGTTTCGAAGCGGAAAACGGTTTTGGGGGGGGGGTGTGGGGGGGGACACCCTCAAAGTGACAGGGCGTCAAAAAAATAAAACATGAGGGGGTCCTACTCATGGCCCTGGAAGGGTGTGCCCCGAAAATTCCTGCGTCCCCCGTGCGCGGGTTTGTCGATGCGGGGTCGCGGGGAAGAGGGTCCGGAACAGTAGAAAAATATATATATATATATATTTGACCCCTGCAGGGGCGGCCCAACGTGGGTTGGATGAGGGCCTCGTTGGGGGGGGACCGTGCGGCCAACTCGGGTCGAAGGTAGATGGGGCTGCAGATGGCAGACCCCAAGCGGATTAGGGCCTCACGCACTGAAAGGTAGGTGTCGGTTTCATTCGTGAGGGCAATGACATTTCATGACATATTTTAAAACAACACATTCAGGGCCCCCCCTAAGTCAGACCCTGCTTGGCATACCAATGTCAAAACACATTGAAATTCAATCACAGTGTGGCGAACCATAAGTTGCAAACAATGAAAACAGGCAAGTGTGTCAATAGTGTGTGTTCACTCATGAGACTGATGGACATTCATTAGCACATCATGTATGTAAGAACACATTCATTGCTATCACGAGCACATAATCTCTATAAGTCTATGTCGCATCTGAAATTAACAGCACATTCATAATGGAGGCATCCATGACATGCAGGTGCGTGGCATCGAAGAAGCACATCATTTGCAACAATCACGACAATAGAGCAGAAAACAATCACCAAACAACAGCGACTCAGATGCAAGACCATTGTTGGCGGAGGAACAAGAACATGAGCAAATATATGACAAAGCATTTCAATGGAAATGCGTATGTACAAGGCTGAAGCCAAAAACTGGACCCGTAGACTCTACTGTACAACAGAGAAGCAAAAAAAAAAATGGACCCATCGACGGGCGTCGTCTCTAATGTACAACCGAGTAGCAAAAAAAAACCTGGACCCATCATCTCTGCTACACAACAGAGTTGCAAAAAAAAACTGGACCCGTCGACGGGCGTTGTCTCTACTGTACAACCGAGTAGCAAAAAAAAAAACTGGACCCATCATCTCTACTACACAACAGAGTAGCAAAAAAAAACTGGACCCGTCGACGGGCGTCGTCTCTACTGTACAACCGAGTAGCAAAAAAAAAAAAAAAAAACCCTAATGTCCACATAATGTCTAGTTTGTCGTCGTCTCCATGGAACAACATCGACAAAAATACGCAACAACCCTGCCGACATAGCGTCCAGGCTGTACAGCCACTCCAAAAATAAAAAAAAAACAAATGACAAAAGAAAAAAATTACACCACGGACGTCGTCATCTCCCACCAGAGCGCGGGCGGCCTCTCCCGGCGGACGGGCGGGCCTGCGGTCCTCCCCGGCGCCCTCCTCTCCCTCCGGCACCTGTGCCACGTGCCCCCTTGACGTATGCCGCACGTGCTGCAGCGGCCGCCGTGGCCACGTGTGCCCTGTGTCTACGGGCCGCAATCTCGATCCGCTCTGACTCAGTGTCCGCGTCCTCGTCCTCCTCCACCTGTGCAGCAATCCCCCTCTCTCTCTCCCTCTGAATAGCGTCCAATGCTGCCTGCCCTGCGGTGACCCCTGCAGCGAGTCGAGCCTCAACCTCCGAGAGGCCATGCTGTCGTCTCGTCCTGGGACGCATCAACAACCCCTCATCGCCCGATGTGAACTGCTCTCCCCGCAGCCTGTCCGTGGATGTCCCTGGGGCCTCCAGGACCAATGATCTCCTCGTGTCCGCTCGAGACAAACCAAGCATGCGGCCTGCCATCTGCAGGCTTGGACATCCGGACCCACCCTCCGCAGCCTGCTCTCTCTCTCTCTCTCTCTCTCTCTCTCTCTCTCTCTCTCTCTCTCTCTCTCTCTCTCAAGAGTCTCTCTCCCTCTCTCTCTCTNTCTCTCTCTCTCTCTCTCTCTCTCTCTCTCTCTCTCTCTCTCTCTCTCTGTGCAGGCATTTGGGCAGCATAACGGCAACAGCAATAACTGTTGCCGTTTCAGATAAATGGCAGCATTTATCTGAAACGGCAACCGTGTTGCTGTGGCCTGGGCCTGGACCCACCGCCCTCCCCACACTGGCCAAACCCACGCCCCACCGAAACAGGGCCGAAATGGCCCATGTTTTTTTTTTTTTCTTTTCTTTTTCTGTTTTTTTTTTCTGCGCCGCGCCGAAGGTCAGACACCTAAAAAAAAAAAATGGGCGTGTAGGGTTTTTCCAGCCCTACACGCCCATTTTTTTTTATTTTTTTTTTACACGTAAAAAAAGGACAAAAAAAATCATGCACTGTACTCGGCAGGTCGGCCTAGGCCAAACCGGGCCGATTCGGTCATCGGCCTAGGCCGCGGCCGACTCGGACCACCCGACCGCGACATAGCCTCCAATTGCAGAACAAACAGAAGTGGTGCCAAGGGACACCCTTGACGCAAAGAGCGAGTTAACTGGAATGGTTCAGACAGGCATCCGTTGACATTCACCATGGCGGAGGCACCTAAATACATTGCATGTACTAATTTTCAGAACACCGAACCAAAGCCCATGTGTGACAGGGTGGTGGCGACAAATGCCCACCCCACCTTGTCATAAGCTTTCTCCAAATCCAAGAGGATGATCGCTACATCCTGTACCTCAGAACTAATTATCTCCAGGGCCTGTAAGGTGGCTAAAATATTTTCAAAAATAGATCTACCTTTTACAAATGCCCCTTGTTCAGGTCCTATCAAATCTGGGAGATATCTGGCCAGCCTGATTGCCAATGCTTTAGCTAGGATTTTGTACGCAACATTCAACAGGGATATCGGTCGCCAGTTACAAATTTCTCGCTTATCGTCCTTTTTATACAGAAGAGAGATGATCCCTACTAACATGCCCCTTGGAAGCCGACCTTCCACAAAAGCTGTGTTGCAAATCTCTAAAACCCAAGGCCTCATTGTGTTCCCAGGTTGCTGTAAACAGTTCCACCGGGAGACCATCGAACCCCGGGCACTTACCTGTAGACATCTGCTTCGCTGCCTAACGGAGTTCCTCAATGGAGAAGGGGCGGTCCAAGTCCAGTTTTCCTACATTTGAGATTCTCACATGTGTGCGGTTCCAGAAGGTCAATGAGAGGGAAAAATCTGTTCCAAATGGGTCCGCCGGTCGGACTGTAGTCAGGATATCCGAGAAGTAATCCGCCGCATAGGAGCACATAGTCTGAGTGGCCACAGCCACCGGAGCGTCCCTCAAAAATGGGTGATGGAGCTCCCGAAGCAGTGGTTTGGACCCCTGAATAATAAGTGAGTGAAAGGTGGCCTTAATCATTCTGTCCTGGCCCCGGATACCCCGGATTTTCAGCCATTCTAACCATTGCGTTTGTTTTTTAACTTCTAGAGCTTCCAGCTGAGATAGGAGGTCCTTCCTAACTCTAGACCAGTGAATATCACCATAAGGATCTAAACCTATCCTCACTTCGGCATCAGTAATCTGTCACTGGAGTTCTTTCTCTTTTTGATTTCGTTTACCCGCCTTGATCTGAGAAAAGACGTCAAGCGCAGATTGGAGAATGCCGAACCCAGTGTGCACCCTGTCCTCATGGGATGTGAACAGGGTCTTGGCCCCATTCCATTTCTGTATTTGTTGTTTGACCCAGGCCACTATGCCTTCATCTTTCAGGTGCATGACATTGAGGCGAAAAGGTCCCCTTATTCGTTCAATGTGTTCCCCAGCGATTACATCCATCAAGATTGGGTAATGGTCTGAAAACCCAGAGATCTGCAAGTCCGTCCAAATGCTCCGGTCCCAAGGGGGCACCTCTAGCTAAGATAAAATCCAATCTGCGACTGGGAGCTGGGGTATATTGATCGGATTGAGTCCCAAACCAGGAATATCCGGGGGAATCCGGGTTCATGACCCGGTATACGTCAACCAAAGCTTGCATCTCAATAAATTCAAGAAGGATCTTGACATCCTCTCGAATCGAGTAAACCTTAGGGGAATCCAACCCAGGGGCAAGGATAGTGTTCCAGTCCCCTGCTATCACCAGATGTTCTGTATCTGGCACAAAACGGGGAAGATCAGCAAAAAACTCGCACCTTTCCGCATAATCAACCGGGGCATATATGGACATGAAACCCCAATCTCCATCAGCTATGGCCACTTTGACCCAGACAAAGCGCCCATTAATATCTGCAAAACTGTCAATAATCTCAATATCCAAGTCCTTATTAAATAAAACCGCCACCCCGCCTTTCGTGCCGTCGGCAGGGGCCCAAAACTGCGGGCCCTGCCACCAGCTCTTGAATTCTGAAATTCGGGCCGGGCACATTTTCGTTCCTGAATGCACAATACATTGGCTTCTTGTGAATGAGCCCAGGATGCTAACCTCACTCGTCTGTCCTTATCATTCAATCCTCGCACATTCCAGTTACTGATCCTCAGGCGGTTTGGCAGGACCATTGTTAAGTCCAACCTCTCCGCCCTTGGCTTGGATGTGGCGGTTTACCCCTATTGGAATTTTCCGGCGTTTCTCATTTTCTTCCTCCCCTGAGTGAAGCTGTGTCAGAGCCCAGGGGCTCTGAAGCACTGCTGTAAACTGAGGGGAGGAGATAAAATCCTTGAGCCCGGAATGTTTCAGCCAGTCTGCAATGACCTGGGCAGATATACCTTCACCCATATATTAAATTTTCTTCAACATAGTATTGACTGGCTTTGTGAACTGCTCCAAAGGAATCCAATAAGGTTTAAGGACCTTAAGTTTCTCCCCCACCTCCTCGTTAATCTAGATGTTCATAAATGCAAAGTAAATACAGGCTTTGCATGACCTTCTGCCCGACACTCAGTCAAAGGTGTATCTGCTAACCTTAGGTTCAGGTAGTACCCGGGCGTAGCAGATACCTTGGAGAATCTTGCGCGCATGACCCAAGATTTCCAACTCGGAGGGCTGTCCCTCTATCCTCACTAAGGCCATATCCAAAATATTGTCAGAGGGGGAAAACGACAGGACCATCGGGCCCTTCACTGATGGCACACAAATCAACGGTGCCAGATAGTCTTCCGTTTTGCCTTTGTCTGAACGGGACAGACTTGTTATGGGCTGGGCTACAGCCAGGGAGCGGAACACCCTACTCTTGGGTTTTTCTACACCCTTCTTCTGAGTATTGTCAGTCCCAACCTCCGAAGGGGCACCTCGGTTCCCTTGGACAAGTCCTGGAGACTTTGGCGGTTTGAGCACAGCATCCGCTTCAGTGCGGGATTTCTTGACCAGAGTGCCAGCGGCTTTACCTATCGTTCCAGAATCCTGCGGACTGTCCTCTTCTGAGAGGTCCGCCGGTGGTCCCAGAGGGATCAATAACAGAGGATCAACCTCTGAATCAGTATGCCCAACCGTAATCATTGCATCATCTGCAGCCGCATAGTCCATTCCGGACCCATCTGCAATTCTCAATACCCCTGAAGGGGAGGTCCCACCTCCCGAAGCCTCGGTGCCCATTGCCTCAGCATTCACAACAAACGGGGAGGCCGCCAAGCTTGCAATCCAAGCACTGCAAGATTGCGGATCAAGCGAAAACGCCTGATTATTGTGAGTAGTGAACTGCGGGGGGAGGTTATAAGAACCTTCCAACGGAATCACGGGTCTAGCTTCCGAAGGCTCGACTCTGGCACCACTGGTAGATTGGTTCGGCGGGCCAGGCACATGGCCTGGAACTGTCGCCCCAGATGCCTGTCCTGGCTGTGAAGTGCTTGCTCTATTGTTGCCATTCCCACTAGACACAGTTGCGGGGGGGTAGCCCTGAGTGGGCACCCACACACTGCCTTGAAGAAGACCCTGATGGGGACGTGACCCATGAGACTTGCTGGGAGGAGCGGGCCGCTGTTGAGCGTTCCCTCTTCCTCCCCCTCCCCCTCCCCCTCTCCCCCCCCCTCCCCCTCCCCTCCGGCCCCTGCTGAATCGGCCATTTTGGGGGGTAGGGTGGGGGGGGGGATGGCGGAGGGTTTGCTGTCTGCCTGGATTGGTTTTGCCTGTTTTTCTTCTTAGATGGGCAATCGGGATCATCGTCATAATGGTAATACCAACGGCAAACACTACACCATTCGGTTTCCTGATTAACCACTTCAAGCTCAATTGAGCCCTCCCCGTCCGGAAGGTCTATAGCAATGTAGGGAGTGAAGAGGTCCTGCGCGGCGGGCTCCAAATCGAAACGAATGTTGAAGAGCTCAGGCTCCTCTTGTCTAGCTGACGTCGGACCGGATTTCAGGACCCGCAAAGGCAAAGCCCCAATAGGGACTTGCAACACTCGAATCCAAAAACACTTGTACCTCAGTTTTTCTCTCCATTCGTTCAACTCGACTTCGGTCATCCAGGGACGAGAGTACAGCGTGTACTTGACTCCATCCAAAGTAATCTCGTCGGATTGCTTTTGGTGGAGCCAAGTTGCCACTTCATTGGTGCTGGGGACATAAGTTACTAAATTCTTACCCTCATTATGAAATAGTCCCCGCTTAGGATCCGTTCCCAGCATTGGCATACCAACCCATTTATTTCCGTACATTCGAACCAATCTTCTCTTGAATTTGACCGGGAGAGAGTCACTTTTCTCCCCAAAGAAAATCAAGACTGCATGCTTGGAGAGCCATTCCTTTTGACCCTGAAAAACCCGAGGGTCAACCTTGATCCTAACACAATCATCAGTTCTCTCTATACTTTTAGGATCAGTGACAATCAAACCGGACGGTAAAACCCCGGATCTGTAGCATTCCTCAAAAACTTTAGTAGCCCTTTCCCTATCCTGTTCCGACGGAGTCGGATCCGGATTATTGGTTGCCCTTAAAGTAGGAAATCTGTGGACCTAATCCTTAAATTCGTGCTTGAAACACATGATCCTTCCATGACCGAAGCCCAACAAAACCACCAGCACAGTCATGGCCAAGGTCAAACAGAAGATCACTAACGTTATCGAGAATGACTAATATGAATAAGAACCGTCACACGCACGTCCAAGGACAAATCCAACTTAGATTATCCAAAAACCCCAAATACCAGACTCCTTCAACCGGAAACCGACAATCAGCGTTCCCAACCGTATTTACGCTGACAAACACTAAACCTATCGCTGAAGTCAACGCTAAGACACAAGAACCGACAAACCCTGTTCTCGGTAAGAATTATTACCTTCAGCAGAAGAGAGCCAGATCCGAGTAGAAAGGACTTCGATGTCGAACCAAGTCCCCCGTACAATCCCGGATGCAAGTCTTCAATCGTGTCAGACCCAAATTAACCATAAATCTCCATGGCGATCTCCTTAATCCAACAGGCGGCGAAAAAGGAGCCTGCCCCCCGAGCATTTCGCTCCAGGGGGAGGGCAGCTCCCTTGATTTCCAGCATAAAGACAGACTCACGACTTGGAGAACACAAAATAGAGGATAGTAAGAAATGATGAGGTCGGAGCTGCCAGTAAAGCCTCTTCACCGGACACGTAGCGTCCCTCCTCCCACTCAAGGGAGGGGTTGTGAAAGGCACCGAAAGAAAACCCTCAACACGCAACCGGCAGGGCAAGACGGATCACCAGTACAACCCGACAATCCCACTGTCAACATGCACACCTCGCTAACAACCATAACCGTCCTGTCGAGCTGCTACCGAGCCGACGATAGGTTTAGGGTAGACGACCATCGCGGGCTCCTGCCTAGGCGCGGGAAACCCTACGCGCAAGCAGATGACCGGACGCTCGTCCACGCAGAACCCAGCGCTGGTTCGGAGGCGGCGGCGACGGACGGATTCGCGAGGCCTCCACCCTTTTTTTCGGTCATATCAATTAATTTTGGGGAAAATGCTCCTGGGTCACCTTTCTAGTTTGAAATAGGCAGAAAAAATGTCACATCGCAACTTCGACAGCGCTGTGGTTAGAAAATGTAAGAAAAACATCACCTGGCAGGTACATGACTGCTGTTGTTTATAACTCAGTCTGGCAAAAAAGGCAGAAAAGGCCTGGCCCAGGCCGGGCCCAGACAACCTCGAACCTGGCCTTGTGGACATCACCGACCGGGCCCTGCGAAGCCCACGGAGAGGGCCACACAGTGAAGGCGGTAGAATCTGAAATTAGGCACAATTTGCACCAGCCAAGAACGATAGTGCACTGGCAAGTGGCAGTGCCGTCCATGTGAGAGAGGACATGAGAGAGAGAGAGAGAGAGAGAG